AAACCAGCACACGTCGATGACAGTGCCCTACCCGATAACTTGAGACTCAATGCTCGACCTATCAAACCTTCTAGCGGGATCTTTACGTCTACCTCGGATCCCACGCTAGATGCATCAGAGACCTCGTTCTCACGTCCCGGTCAACAGCACGCGTCATCTGCACCATCTACGAACGAGACTTCCGTCTCACGTCCAGATCGGCAGACCACGCCGCTCTTGACCTCGGATGAGATCGCAGGCTAACGAAGTACGAACGAGACCACCGTCTCACGTTCCGGTCGCCGAGTACGAATACCCGTACGCTTTCGCGACTAAACGCACAGTCAATAATGGATACAGTGTAGGATTATTCCTATACTACACGCATGCTACACTTTTCTTTTTTTGATTTTTTTTGTATCCTGAGCTCACGCCTCCGACCATCGCCCGTTTGATAACGTCGACTTCAGTCAATTTTGGAAAAAGCTAGTTTGGCCACCCATGCTCTAGTCAACGCACACAGCCGATTATCTGGTCTCGAATTCGCCTGGCATACGCTTGGTCGTTATGGTCGCGTCCGGTTTCTTGGCTCAACGTGGTTTCTTCCTACGTCTGCAGCGTTTTCTGGTCCGCATCCCTACGAACGCAATCTTCAGATCCTGGATACAAACCACTCTGATGTGGTATGATAATTCGTCCAACAAATACAGCACACTTCTCCTGGTACCGTTCTGCGCAAAAGACTTTCGTTGGCAACTCGAGGATCAACGATCACTTCCTGTTCCGCCAATTTCCTCCGTCCTACAACCACACTTCTTCCGATCAGTCCCACGAATCAAACCGCTATCGAAAGTGTAAACCCTTTCTAGCGGGGGGCTCCTGTAGTGACCTACTTTTGTCTACAGAACGCGATTGGTTCAATGAAAACAATTATTATTATAACTTATTGTACCAGTGACTGTTTTACTGTGCTCGTTTGTTTAACTGTGCTAATGACAGCCATTATACTTACTCTCCCGTTGACTTTGAACTTGTACGAATCCGGTTACGCTCAGTAACCACACTTGTACTCCTTTGGCACGATCTCGGTATTCTTTTGATACCACGAGATCGCCAACAAATACATCTCGACTACAGCCATCATCTGTCTTCTGATTTTTGGCCTACGGGGATCTTATTAGTTAATTGGCACGTAGTCTTGTAGCGGTGTTCGTAGTCAAGCTCAACTCGACACCACGCTACAAATCCATGCGAGACCAAGAAACGATAGTAGGAAAACCTGCAAAACAAGTAGAAATGACCCTATGGGGCAACTGGCAGAGAAATATAGTAAACCAAAGAGACCCGCCAAGGACAATGAAGGCAACTCTATCACTGGGATTCAAGAACACTGAGGGAGATTAGCAGAAAATTTTGAAGACCAATTTCATCATTCTGAAGGAGCACACACGTATCAACTAATGAATTGTCGAAAGCTGTATTGAGTTACGCTTCCGATCTGGAGAATAAGAGATAAGGATAACGTAGAATCCCATGACTGAAGATTCAGCGAGTCAAATTGTGACTGGGCCAGCAGCGTTAAGTGGCTTTCTTTTTGTTGAATAATATCTGGTTATTAATGAAACAAACATTAGGTTTTATTTAATAATTTATAATTTAACTCATGACAATTTGAAGATCATTTGCTTCGCACTTTAACGATACCTTAGACCGTGAGAATTAAGTTTTTTCACGTCCTTCACTTCACTGAACTTCTAAATATTATCGTTGAATATGATCAGCGCGAATCAAGTCGAAATGTACATAAATTCCAGTTCAGTAAAACTTGTGCTTGCTTCAAAACTATGAGCTACTCACTATAAAGAAAATGAATGTCACTTTTGGAGGAATTTTATGGTGTACTGTGAGATATTGGTAAAACATTGTGAAGTAGTTGATAATCGCTTGTGTAATGGGAACTTGTCACCTACTACTCTCATTTTACAATTCAACTCAAGGTCCGCTCATAAGATACTTACAGTCTAAGGAAAATGGGTAGTCTAAACCTGCAGGTCTTGGTTACTTTCTACCTGGAATCTTGTGTTGTTTGTTTACTTCAGTTAAGATGATAGGTAATAAAGTTTACATTTTCAAATCTGTGTATGAGTTTATGAGTTCGTTTTGGCTGCTCACTGAACTGATCATGACATGATTAGTTGATGAAAAGTGCTATGTCCAAATTTGCTAAATCTGGGATGCTTGATGTACGAATAATTGCTAGATTTACGACTATAACCCAAACAAGTGAAAAGACCAAATCAATTTTACCACCAAATAGAAATTTATTGAATTTAATCATAAACCTAAAAACATATTGATTATTACCATTACCATATAAACAAATTCACTTCAATGTTTAGAAGTCCCTGAGTACAATAACAGAGCAGCAACTGCAAAATAAGCTTCAGTAGAATATAAACAAATAGAAACCACGTAAAAGCTGAGCAATATTTACAATAAACATTCATAATCAGACAAATACTTGTGAGTTCTCTTATGACAGAAAAATGTTTCCGTCTAGTTATATTCTTGTGTAAATTAACCTTATTTGTTACCGATCAATAAGATGTATTTGAAACACCATGCTTAGCAATACCTTCAGTATTTTGATGCCCCATAATCATTAGTTTTGGTTTATTTCTAGATTTCTCTGTAACATAAATCAAATAAATGTTACTGAGTATTTCAATTGATTTCAGTAGAATGCAGTGAAATCTCTCATTTTTTACAAAACACACTTCATATTGAATCAACAAATCTATGATTATTGTGATCTCATCAAGTAAACTAATAGAAGGTTTCATTATAACCAGCGTTTTTAAATCAAATTCTATTCTTTCAAAGTGTACAACAAAATAGAGTTTTATTATCATTCACATTTCTAGTAGTAATATTGAACAGTTATAACACAGAAGTATAGATATTAGTGACTGTTGAAGTTACCTTACATCGAATAATTTTCACCATTGTTAATTTCTTTAAGTGATTTTAAACGTATTAAATGTATTAAACAGATCATTGACAAACACTCAGGCGGTTTAAACAGAAATAAAATTGGGGGGAGGAAAGGTAAGTTTCAGAGTATCATTGTTACTTGACTCACGTGCATGACTTAATTAGTGTATATTAGTGAACATTAACATTTGAACATATTTTATATCACTAAAATTTTATTTTCAAAAGTAAAAAAGCGATAAATAACCCATTGTTTAATTAGACAGCAATAAAGAGAAATAAATGGAGAAAATTTTCCTTTTGACGAAATCATATACTTAAGCTGTGCATCCATATTCACATTGTGTGAAATAAATTATCTAATTCACTAGATGAATGTAATCGAATAACTGATGATGAACCAGTATTTGAACAAATGAAATATGATTTGGAATTAAATTTAGTTGAATTGATTTTATTACTAGTAGAGTTAGTACTAGCTGTAGTAGTCGTAGTATTTGTGATGTTAATGATTGGTGGATTTCTTATGATACTTCCAGTTAATAAAGGTGCAGGTAATAAAGGAGCTGAAGCAAATCGTCGATTTTGCATATCTAACTAGAAAAAATAATTAAAACGATTCATCACAAAAGACTGCAATATACTGTACATAGGATTTCAAGTTAAACATATTTTTATAGCTTCGGATCAACTGATTGTTTCGTATACAACGAAGTAATTTATTTAACACTCATCTTGTTTTATTGCCTGAGTCTCGAAATCCTGAGTGAGATCGCTTTGTGTGGTCATGGATATGCAATACTAAGGAGTCTTACACTGGAACGAAACAGTTATCCAGTGAATACTAGCTTCGCTGGATTTCTGAAGAAAGCCAGTATGTGATATTCCTTTTCAAATCCAACATCCTGCTTATTATTATTCAATATCAACCATAACATCATTTCGCTCAACACAACTCAATGCAGCAGAGGCACATAATCTTTACTAGTCCATTATGCCTAGTCGATAATGACAAATAAAAAACTCTAACTTGTGATGTGAATAAAATCCAGTGACCTTTGAATTTACAACCTCATTTCGTTATTATCAGAAAAATGTTTTGTGGAGATCGCAGTGATTTAATAGCTAGATTCATGAGTCAATTAAAGCTACACCACCATGGAAAACCTGGAAGCACTGGACGACCATTTTGTCATATTATCGAACTCCTCAGTATTGAGCATCCACGATCTCGCAAGCAGGGCCCCTATTCTGTGCGCAAATGCTTAACCATTAGACCACTGGTGCGGGTAGCACCCAATGTTGTTAATGTTTAACTTCAATCAATCCACGAAACCCTGCCACTGTTCACCATTGTCAACAGTGAGTTACTATCTCACAACAGACCCAGCTGAATTCATACTCGGATGAAATCTTTGTTCGATGCTTCCAGGTTTTCCATGGTAGTCAAATCAATTATTTGTTACCGTTCAACATTTTTTTCACTAATTTGAACAGTTATTTATTTTTGTTATGTCAGATGAACGTTTTCCAATTTTTTTCATGATAAATTGTTCAGTTGTTTATAACTCATTTTATGAATAATATATCATATCAGAATGTTTTTTGTGGATATTATAGTAATTTTAATAATTTAGATCATGAGTCAACTAAAACTAGACCACCCTGGAAAACCTGGAAGCACTGAATAGCCATTTCATCTTACTGTTGGACTCCTCAACAGTGCACATCCACGATCCATGGATCTAGCTTCAATTGACTCCTGATCTCAACTATCAAAATTATATTTTAATCAAAATTGTATAATCTACATACAATCTACATAGATATATACCTCATTAATTTTATTCTCAGATATACTTTTGTAACTTCGCTCTTCATTTAAATTAGTTGTTGTTTGAATTTGACATGGTGTTAAATGTCCACTGCTTAATGAACTACTATTATTCAATGTATTTGAATGATTTAATAAATTATTTGTTGATTTACTAAAATTATGTTTATGATTCTTATTCATGGTAACAAACTTCGATTTATTCTGTTCAATTGTATCATTTGCATTCAACCATTTATGTGATGATGACATTGGTGTTGTTGATGATGATAATGATGATTTTGATTTAGTCGGTGTAGGATTTTGACATTTTAACCAGTCTGATGATGTTGATGATGACGTTGATGTTATCACTGTTGACGAAGATGGATGATTAGTTTTGAGTAAATGATTCTAAATAACACAAAGAAGGAAATGTACAAAAAATTAGAATAGTAGCTTCATGGTTTACACCAGAAACTGATCTTAATTAGCAAATCATCACAAACCAGAAATTAATAGAGATCTATTTCGTCTCATAACAGAACTTTTCGGAAGTATGCATCCACAATCTGGTGTGTGATATGGAAAGTAAATGTGACTAGTCACAAAATGTAAATAAAATAGGACACAACTTACTGACTGAATGTGTAATTTCCTTTTTTCTTACTGATTTAGACTCTGGGCCCACTGAGTGTAGACGGCTTGTAATTGCGTGGGGTAAAGTAATGTCTAGAGTTACTGTGGTCCTCTGTTCTTAATCGTAAATTATGTATGTAATGTATGTAATGTATGTAATCCATTTCATTCACAGAATTTCGATCGTGCATCCAATCAAGAGGTTTTATCAACTCGATCATATAGGCGAACCTTATCATCATATAATTTTATTAGCGTAGTATACCGCTAAGAATGAAAAATATGTTAAATCATCCGTTACAAAACAACCCTACCAGAAATATAACCTAAGACACTAATCTTTAACTACAAGTTACATACCTGAATTAGAACTTATTAATCTTCACTCCACTAATCTCTCAGCCAAACTAAAATCGTATAACCACTAATGACAAACTCTTGGATAAATTTCTGAAGTTGTAGTGTGCAGTCATGACTGTTAGAAATACACCATATCAGGATGGAAGAAGTTGTTCACTTACAAGACCACTGATCAGTGTACTCTAGCCTGTATGGATCATTTGATTTTTCATTATTGTTTGGAAGTATACACGTTGATCAGAAAATCTGATATTCGACCGTAGGTTAGTTCGTGCCTATGAAATACTGCGAAGTTACAGACAGGGAGAAAACAGTTATTCAGTGCTCTCTAGTTTTCAAGGTTCTTCAGAAGATATCGACCGGCATCGAAGATCATTTTCAAATGAATTCTCACCTTAGCAAATATCTCAAGTGTAAGATAAAAATCCAAAATCTTTCTTTAATAAATAAGATAATTCTTCTATACTTACCAGTCCATTATTGATCGACATCAATGTTTTACCAGAGGAATTCTCAAATTGTTGATCAGATCTATCTAATAAAGTTTCCGGTTTTTTCATTTCAGCCAATGACTTATTCATTGTACAGTTGATGTTTACTTCTGAGAATTGATAATAAGGAAAAAGGAATATAAAAATAATTTATTTCCAAAAAGCAAATCATTATTCACTACTGATTGATATTAGTTGGAGTCATATCAAATAATAACGAGCAATGAATAGATAATTCATCAATAGTGAATAACCATGTCACAGCTACGTGTTAAACGCAGAAACTTGTTTTCTAACTATGACTACTTAATCAATAGACAAATGGTTTGGCACGTAATAGTACACATTTTTGACTTGAATCAAATTTTCCACTATCACTGTGGATATTTTCATCAGTCCCTACTTGAAATTATAAAATGTGAATAGAGCAATAATGAGATGTCTACAATGTAAATAACCAATATGTTCAGACAGTATGACACTATCAGACGGTTATATCTAGGATAACGGTGAATCATATCTGTCAATAGATTTTATCCGCATAAATCGGGCATTTACAAGAAATTATTAATACAATAAGTAATAGCTATGAACATAAAAGAGAACACGTTAAATTACATTGTTCATTTGAATTACAGTTCAGTGTTGAATTGCTTACTGACTGTTGTTGATATTGATAACTGTCATAGGATTGATTTAATGATTCATTAGGTTGTATCAGATTAGTATTCAACTGATCGAATTTATTTTTAATTATGGATGTTGACAATAATGAGGATGATGGTAAATTAGAAGAAGAAAATGATTTTCTAAATGAATTGTTGTTATTAATTCTACCAATTGAACTGGATCCATTCAACTTCCATGTGTCATTTGTACAATTAGTACTATTCGTATCATTATTCATTGTCTGTGCATCCAATTGATCATTAAATGATGTATTAGTTCCAGATGTTAAACTATTATGAATGGATCCATTTAGTGTCTGTAAAATAGAACAAACAAATAATCAAGGAATAAGTTGATCATCAAAACTGAATCTGTCAGTATGCAATTTTGTGTTAAAAGTAAGGCAAAACATTTCAAATCTAGCTGAAGATGACCTCAACATTTTCAATGTTTAATAAGTTTATCACTTCCATTTATCATATTCCACCATTTTCCAGCTTCCACTGTTTTCTCAATGCATTACTGTTTGTTTGTTTTGTTTATCTTCGTTTAAATTACAGTAGTTCTTTTACCAACCAAAGGACGAGTTTACTGCGCAACAGTTTGTTCCGTCCTACTTTATGGCAGTGAAACATGGCCAGTAAGAGTAGAGGACATTCGTAGTTTACTAGTATTCGATCATATGTGTCTTCAAAACATTGCTCGTATATCGTGGGACCACCTTGTAAGTAATGCAGTGGTTAGGAAACAGATTCTAGGCAAGGACGGCAAATCAATGGATGAAGTAATGAAAATTCATCAGTTGAGATGGCTTGGTCATGTGTTACATATGCCTAACCACCGACTGTTCCCACGTGCAATGTTTTATGGTGAAGGAGTATGTTGGAAGAATGCTAAGGTTGGACAGATAAAAACATGGCACAAATTCATGAAGTCACTAAAAAGTGAACTGAGCCATGTCGGTAGGTGTAGACTACCTGGTTGTGATCCGCGAGACAATAGCGACCGATGGTTAGAGACCTTGAATGACATGGCTCAAAATCGTTTGCAATGGCTCAGGCGTATCCACTCATTGTGTTCTCCCAAAAATTAATATTCTGCATTCTTCATGTCCCTTTCTTTCTCTTCCCAAACTTATTTTACTAGATTATACTCCTTGAATAACCCCTTCAAACAGTAATCTTTCCAATTAATGTCTATGTGTTTACTACTTCTATCAAACTGAGATTTGAATCGGCAGATATACCTCTGTGCTAATTTGGTATGACAACTCGGACTGATGTATGTACGTACGAAGTTCTACGTTATTGACTAACTGAATGATTGACTATTTACCTCACATCCCACCTTTTTGTTCAGTTTCTAGTATTTTCCGAATGTTTTAATGTTTGTTATGTTTTTCTTTGTTCGTGTTTTACATACAGATTCATCCTACTTGTTCTAACCATAACCTTTAATGGAATAACTAGAAGGTATCATGCGAAAACACATAACAATGATGATATCGATCAGGTAAATCTAAATTTACAGTTGTAGGTTTGAGTAAACTGTCATTATGAAAAAAATGATATGAAAAACGTACTTGTTTACTGCGTAAATTACTTGGTGTATTACATCTTTCGTATATATTTCCATTACTATGAGTGAATGTTTTATTATCAGCTCCATTGACATGATAATAATCGGTTGTAGAAATACATATTCTTGATTCTTTATTAAAAATTAAAGTGTTGAGATGGTTACTAGAAGAATTTTGATCGAATGACGGCTTTGTCATGTTGGATGGTTTTACTGTAACTGAATGTGTACTGTTGACATTTTTATGTTCACATGAGGAATCATTATAATGTTGTTCACTTGAAAAATGAAAAGAAAAAACCCGTTCAATTGTGTTATGTAATCAGTAAATGAATTTCGATTGATGTCAATCATATTTGATCTAAATTATGTAAACTATTAATCATAATCTAAAACAATGTTAACCTGTTACTAAACCGATGGAAGCACTAAATTCAGACATGGAAGCAATTTCAAACATGCATCACATTATATTCAGAAGGATTTGGGAGGAAGAATAATTGCTGATGGACTAGAAAGCAGAACACCTCATCTACATTACCAAAGTAGGTAAGTAATCCGCTCACTAATAATTCATCTTTAGAAAGTGATATCGCCTTCCGTAATGTAGATGTCAGTCAATCCATAAATTAAGTATATAAAATAATTGCTTCCTAAAGCTTTAGAATAACTATCATATAATAAGATAGAGATCACTATTTCGATACAAACTACAGTTATTTTTAAATAATAAACTGGAGAAAAGTCAAATTTCATTAGAGATTAAAGTTGACATTGTGGAGAATCGATTAGAGTTACGCACAACGATTAACGTTCATGGTTTGATCAATTACTTTCGGCATTTCCGACAACTCGACTAGGAATCATATATCATTATTTATAGTGTATTTATGAGGTATTCTATAATATGGAGCCGAACACGCATCAATTTGGTGAATTTAAGTAAAGTCCCTATTTTCTGTTGCATTGGTAACAATTAACTTATGTATATAAACATTACAATTGATCTTTAATAACTTTGGTAATACTTTTTACGTTCATACATTGTCTCGTCCATCACACACACTGTCAGCAAAACTTTGTTTATTACCTCTCAAAGTTAGTCACTGTTAGTCACATGATGGTTATCTAATTATGCTGAGTTTGTGAAATAAACTAAATTTAGCTACATATATAACATTCCTACACTAACACTGACAATCAAATGTACACTAATCAATAATGTCTACGTGAATCCTCAAAAATCACACATTGTTTTAGTAAAATATGGAAACAGTACATCAAATACATCATTTGTCGAACTTCCTTGAATTGTCCTTTACAAACTCCATTGTTCTTTTACTTCGATTGCTTTTTGCTTTACTTTCTCTATTCTCCAATTTCTTATCTTCTTCGCAAAAATTCTACTTTCCATTACAGATATATACTACTTATATCTGTCGGTAAAAGCAGTACACACCACACTCTGAGCATAGAGATTCTGAAGTGAACTGTCTGCATAAGTAGTCCAAATGAACAAATATGCCACTATTAGCACATCCTACTAGGATTCAATAGACCTTTGTCTCAATGATAAATCTGAACACTTATTCACTGAGCTTACGAAAACCATACGGTAAATGCTTCATTTGCAAATCGCTAATCAATTGTCTCATACTTGACTGTTTCTTCATTTGCACACCAATCATTTTCTGTACTCGTTCTTTCCTCTTCGATATCGTGAACCGTCTGCCGTTTGGCATGTCAATTTCAAAAGATGATAAAAGGTATTTACCTGACAGATTTGGTGTTCACTACGAGACTCGAGCACAGAGAACTATGGTCCCTTAAACCCAGAGATTTCCAAGAATGTCGGTCCAGTTTTGATTGTTTGGATGACTGACAATCTCGTCTCAATCACTAGTCATCCCGATTCATTAGAAAGTATAAGTTCAATAATACTAACACTGTTTCTAAGTGTAAATTGATGATTCACGACCGGTTTAAATTATCGCCTTGAATAACCTTACGAGATGCATGAGTTGTATATATCAGATCTATAATTTGTTTTGTGAATCGCATCACTTTTTGTGTGAGTGTTTGGAGAGATCTCAACACGAATTCAGAAAGAAACTTAATAAAGTTTTATTGAACGTTCATCTTATTGCCATCCATTATATTGTTACGGAAGAACAGAAGACATCTGGCTGACTGTAAACTTTATATTAAATATGACTAATTTCACTGTGTGTTTGGATGTATTTATTTAACTGAACCTCTGAACTTGTTTGTTTATATCATTTTTCTCGTAAATTTCGGTTGCTCTTTGTCTTCGGTTTGGTATTTGTGAGATTTTGCTTCAGGAACCTGCAAAATTGAAGAACGACATTCGGCTCGACTATTTGTAAATTGCGGATAAACTTTGGTATATAAATTGCAGTTTGGTTCTATTGTTAATTTGGGTTCGTAAATTGCAAATAGATCGATATACCGTGCTTCAATAATGGGAAGGAGCAAAAACTTGAACATAACACTCACTCAACATCAGTCTTTTTTGGTGACTTTGTTGAATTGCCTAATATTTCTCAAAGTGATCACAGACTACTGTGTGCAATCGAATATGAATTGAACTAAATTTCAAGACACAAACACACTTATCTGGAAACCAATCAATCAACTGAAATTTCAATGAACATTTGAGTTTGAATAGAGCAAGAAGAACAAACCTGGGATATGAGTACGAATCTCGATTCACCAATAGGATTAATATCGGTAATAGTGAGAGCATTTTCAAATATATTCCATCGGTTGAACATTCACACACATGTAAACTTGGACGTAACATAAAATTTTACAATAATTGCTTGTGTGTTCATACCTTGAATTTTTCTGGACATTTTGGCTCCAAATGTTCTGGTCATATTGGTTGATTTCATTTGGATTAATTCAGATTTGTCTTGATAACCCGTTCTTCGGAACAAAGGCACACTATAAAAACACGAAGCAGAAATTGAAAGAAAATTACGTTGAAAGTAAAAGTTCTAAAGCCGTTTGTGGTATGTCTAATGTTAATGATGATTAACGTGGTGATGTTGGTATTAATAGTTTGTGCTCTGGTCAGCTTGGCACTTCTAGATTAAAGTTAGGCAAAGCATTTCTAAAGAAAAAGAATTTGAAAGAGTTGAGTTAGAAAGGCAGCCTCAAGGAGAGTTTGATATGGCTGAATTAGAATGTAAGGTTATGGAAGGCAATAACCAGCTGCCCGTAGACAAGTGTGAGATAAATGGTAAGGTGGAAATGCATTTGGATTGTGACGCTGGCTGTAATAATCATTCGGAGGAGATATTTAGCATCTCAAAGGGCGAGTGGGTTGATGAATCGAAGGATACGTTACATACTATGGTTAATAATATGGTTTTTCCTAAGATCGATATGATGTATTTTGATGGACAACTGAGTCAGTACCACCGTTTTATTAGTCAGCTTACTAACACTATCGACAGTAAACTGTCCGATAATGGCCAATTGTTGTCGTATTTGTTATACTATTGTAAGGAAAAAGTCAGAACGTCTATTGAAGCTTGCATTTCATCGCCATGTCATTTGGGTTATGATAGAGCTGAACAAATTATGTATGATCTGTTTGGTAAGGGAAACTTTGTCACTCGCGATCCGATTACTTGGTTACTTAACCACAAATCTGTTGAAGGATCAGCCGATGGCTTAACTGACTTCGCAATTAAGCTACGTAATCTATGCATAACATTGAAGGGAATGGGGTATATGTCTGTTGTGAATTCTACGGCTAATTTGGAAATTATTGTGTAATGTTCCCCCCTACATTTACAGAATAAATGAGTGGAAGTTGCTGATAAGATCATGATGACCAGAAGGGAGCCGATCTTTAAAGAATAAGTTATCATTGTGGAAGAAAGAGCCAGGATTGCTCGAACATGTTTTGGTAGATTGGTACATTGTTACGCAAAGTTCCGTAAAAGTAATTATGAAGGCCAAGTTGATAGATCATGCTTTAATGTAGTTAAGCGAGAACTAAGCAACTTATTCAGGGCCTTAAGTGACGAAATTTGCTTTGTGATCACAAAGAGACAGATTGTAAGAAGTTATCGAAAATGAATGCTACAGAAGGGAGACAGGAAGTGGGAGGATGTGGTCTACGTTACCTGTGTTTAAGGAAGGGTCACGTAGCCAGTTCATGCAACTCGGACATCGAGTGTGACGTTGATAATTGAAAGATTCGGCATAATTCACTGCGACATATTGATGGTATCAACAAGCATGTAGTGAACTTAGCTTTGGATTAGCACTCGTCAAAGGTTTGTTTAGGTATCATTCCTGTCAGACTATACGGCCCCAAAGGATGTTTGGCAACAAACGCCTTTCTAGATAGGGGCTCAAATGCTTCTATCGCATGTGAAGAGTTGATTAACCGGTTGGGTCTCAAAGGTAAAGAGACTTCGATAAAAGTGACGACCGTGAATGAAACTTCTACTTGTGAATATCTGGAAGTAAATTTAGAGATATTTCCACTGGACGGACAGGGTTCTGTGAAGACCAACTAAGCTTATACGAATAAGAAGTTTCCGATCGATTACGTGGAACCTTCAACCGAGGAACAGCCGGGATCTTGGAAGCATTTGAAAGACATCACCCTCCTGATGTTACAAAGTAATCTGGTAGAAGTGCTGATTGGGTGTGACACTCCAGATGCACATTGGGTTCTAGGTTCTGAATAAATTAGATGAGTCTAACAATGCTATGATTTGGAATCGGAATAAAGAGTTCGCAGTAAACAGAAGAATTAATGGATTGATACTTTATGTGGGTTTACATATTCATGTTTACGTTACTTTATATGAGCTTCTATAGATGATAAGGCATTTGGTTTAATGATTGATATTGCAGTTGTTCATGTTGACACAAGTATTTTGGGGACGCTTCTCTGAGGAATACGTTTCCTTGTTGCAACGTAAACACAAATGGACTTCACCAGAATGGAACATAAGAGAGAGTAACTTGGTGACGAAATGTTCTGGTTTCTTCTAGAAAGACATATAGTTATTAGGTCTGGTAAAGAAAGTGATACCTAGCAACGATATGTTAAAACCTATGGAGTTGAGGACAAGCCAAAGAATCATAGTAAGAGACATTCGAAAAATGCGTGTGGAAAATGCAGATGTTATGTAGCTACTCGAATCCTTA